ACTATCCAAGTCAATGGTTTCTAATCCAACTAGGATTGGAACCTTACTTTTTAGAAGCAGAATAGTAACTTATGGAAACTAAGGGCTTGATAATGAAAAGAAATAAACCTAATGCACTTAGGAAAATAAGTTTTGTCACTATTTTAAAAAGGCTTTCAACCATGATTTGAAACCCGAAACATTTGAGTTATGATTAACCCATAAAATATATGGGTTTTAGATCTTAAACAGATCTTTCATTCAAGCTTTGAATCAGCCAAAATGAATTTTTGTAAGAAGTTACCCTTTTGGGAAGCATTCTGCATCATCACTGCTTTTTAAGCATTTGGGATGATTATTTTGATTGTGATGATAATAAACATTATGATGATAATTTTAATGCAGTTCAAGATTATTGTAATCTAGATTTGATAGGAGGCATATGGCAGTTGATTGTCATTTTATTGGATTGGACTTCTTGATGGACTTATCAGTTGCACCCATGTGATATGTTCTGATCTAGTTGTAGATATGTTATAGTGCTTGACATGATCAACAGAAGTACTATCATCTACTCATATTGATGCTCAAATTTGGGAGAAGTATGTGCATGTTAAGATATATACATATCTATATAAATGTCCTATGCCTTCGACATCCATGTATACATATAAAAAGTATTGGTTGATGTCACTGCTCAAGAATATATATGTATTTGTTATTTTCATGACAGCCCCTTTTACATTTTCCATTTTTTAGTTGATTTGATGGGCAAGTTGATGAACTATTAGATATCTAAAAATACTCTGTGTAGATAGAGTATTATTTCAAAGGATTAGACATCTACAGGCATCTTATTCCCTAAGGGTGTTGATTGGTCTACAATCAAATATTAAGGGTGTCACCAGAATTCCAAAGGGCTTATTTTTGTCCCTTTAAAATACAAATTGTTGGAATTATGGCATTTCAAGGCCTTGCATTTTGTCAGCATGGTTTTCGGTCACAATGGGAGTAACCAAGAATGTTGCGGCTATGGGAATCTTTGCAGATTGTGGTCCAGATAGGACTGAATAACCCTGATTACATGAGGCCAGGTTCTTGGACTGTGTTATGAACCGAGAGGTTTGAGGGTTTCCTCTAAACAGGGTCAGTGTGTGTGAGTGCCTCATGTGGTGTGAGCCAAGGCTTGGGGATCGGTGAATCTTGATATGTTTGAGATGTTTTTTGTGGGTGAAAAGTCCTGTGTGAGTAAACTGGGCTTTGAGAGGGCATGAACCCAAATCCCTGACGTATGTAGTTTCCTCACAGCGTGTGCACTAGACGAGGTATTTTCAGAAGCCGTTCTGATGAGGTAAGATCCATCTATCAGAGCTTGCACATGTGGTGAGAGAGGACCCCCGCATTCGCAAGAGTGTATGTCCTCGGGGGGCACCTAAAATCCATTGAACGCCCAGAGATCCAACCACCTACTGGTTAGCTTTGACTGGTTCAATCGTGTATTCTGACCTAAGTCTGTGGCACATAGGGCCTATCAGGTTGATATGAGAAAGTGGTCTGTGTTTCTGGATCTAACCCAGTGGAGTACCATGAAGCCCGCCCTCTTGAAGGATCCTAATTTTCTAACTGGATTTATTTGAAGTACGAGACTGTGTTGATTTATGAAACAATGATTAAAAATAATTTATCATGATTTTAAAGAATTTTTGGAAATTTTATTTCAAGGAAAAATAACTTATTTAAATTGTTGGTAAGTAATTCCAAACTAGGACATTCACACGTGTGGCGTGTGGCACATAATTGAAGGAAGCCAAAATAGAATAGGATTTCCAATCCCACAGGATACAATTGATTGGCTGATGTTTCAAAATTCAACAATGTGTGCCACACGTGGAGCCCATGAGATTGCCACGTCGTTGCCCTATAGGCATGATGTGGGCAGACCTAAGGTTTGGGCGTATGTGATTGTTTGGTTTGTATACATAATCATGATATGTGTAGTTTGTGTCACATGTGTAGACCACATGTGTGAAGGCCTGTGTTCATACGTGTGTGTGGGATTTTGAATTTTCAAAAGTATTTCAATTTAAAAATTATGTGATTTGTGGGTCAATTGGATTTTTATGGGTGTTAATATGTGATTGATGGAGGAAAGATAAGGGGAGACACCTTATGACATGTGATGTGAGCATGTCCTCTTTGAAAATGACACATGTAACTTGAAGTGTGGTGCAAGTTTTAAGTGGGACGGATGGAGGAGAGAGAAAGTGGGGTGCCCCACACATCTCATCTTGCACTTTGCTTTGAAACCAATGGTTGAGATTAAGTGTTTCAAATGGATGGTCATGATTTCTTTAAAATCAAATTAGGGTATGACAGGAACTTATGAAATTATGGGAAATTTGGAGGTATTTTTGGGCATGGTGATAAAGGTGTTTTTGATCATCACCAATCATATGATAGCTACCAATGGTGATTGATTAGGTTAGGACTTTAGCCTTTCTCAAGCCTTGGATTGCTCAATGGATGGCGTAGATCAAATCTAAGATAAAGCCCACACTTTGAACCTTTTATAAAAGGGAGTCCTACTCTACCTCATTAATACTTAATCTTGTCCCACTTCCTTCCTCATTTTTTTGAAAATCCCATAGAGAGCCATGCCCCACTATCATTTCCCTTGCTTTTGCCTCTTGAGTTGATGAGCTTCCTTCAAGAAAGAGAGAGTAGTCTTCATCCCACAATGGAGTTCCAACTTGATGATTGGCCATGCACCTACCCAATGCACTTACCTTCCATCTGGGTGTGGATGTGTTACTGCTGCAATATCTCATTACAGTAAGCTAAGTGACCTCATTTTATGGGTGGAGTGCAATCAAAGAGTTTTCCAATCAAGATTAATCAGGAGGAAACAATTGCTTCGACATATCATTTCTCATCTTCGGGAGATAGCTGATGTTAAATTGTGGGCATTTTGTGTCTCAGAAAAACTGATTATCGACAATCTCTTGTTCAATTGGAATCAAGAGAGGGATCAGTTGGCTATCCCGGTGGCGTTGTCATTTTCTAGCCCTAATCATTTCAAGCTAAACATTGCCCAGGTCAAGCAGGTGGGGGGGGGGTGGGGGGGAGTGTTATTAGAGACTGTGACAATGTTTTATTGCAATGTTTTCAAAATCTTTTGGAATTGCTTCCAATAACTATGCAGAATTATGTGCTCTTGAAGAGGGTTTGGTTCTAACCGTTCTACTAAATTGTTTCCCTCTTTAGATTAGAAGTGACTCAATTTTGCTCGTTGCAGTTATTCATGAACGTTGTTGACCTCCTTGGATGTTATATACGATTGCAGCATATTGTAGACAACGACTTTCTAATCATGGATGGTCCTGCTTCCACATTTTTCGTGTGGCCAATATGGTGGCTGATATTCTTGCAAAGAGGTCCACATCTCTTTTACAAGCCATTGTTTGGTCTTCCTGTCCTCCGGACTTTATTTCCCTTGCATTACTTCGTGATTTGTCACAGGTGCCCTGTTCCAAGGTTATAAAGAAATGAGCTGTAACTGTCTTTATTTTAAAATATTAATAAAAAACGGGTAGGGGGCCTTCTCGCCCACTGACTTATCCCAAAAAAAAAGTGACCTCATTTACTCCCTTTTGAACTTTGTTGATCATGTACAGTATGAATCCATGGTGTAGTTTTGATCTTAATCTTTCCAAACTGTTATGTGTTTATGCTGCTGTAAATCTGGCCCTTATCATCCATAACAGCGAGTTCCAGCTATGTTTTTAAACTTTACTTGGTGGCCTCTTGATCCCATCTTGTGTTATGATGTCCCTAGCATTTGTGGTTGCTATAGCATGTGTTTTGGTGTAGTTTGGAATGTGTTTCTATGATATGTTGAGAGGCTATCCCTTGCCGTAAAATCGATTGTCTCAGGCCATAACAGTAAGTTGCACTCTCCCATACCCCTTTGTTGGTAGAAGGCCTTGTGTTAGAACCACACCATATATGTCCAGTTTTAGCCAGTTTTCTCCCACCTAATTCTCTCATCGTTTTGTTTCCCATGTGAGGTTCATTTTGGCCCATATTTGATGTGTGAGGTAGTGTGACATGTTACTTGTTCTTCCCATGATTAGATGTGTGCCATCCCTCTTGCATTATCGATAGGAGCGGTAACAAGGGTTGTATTGAAACCGTGCTGGTAGTCGCCCGGTGGTTGAGAATTAAATCGGCTTCCCAAAGTCATGTCAAACTTGTGCACACTGGATTATATTTACCATTTATTTTTCTCAGTATATTGTGAAATGAAAAAGTGTTGTTATAGAGCAAGAGTTGTAAAGTTGTAATTGAAAGGTATTTTGAGTAAGATAAGTGTCATTATAATTTTTCTTACTTTGTAGTAATTATTGGGATTTCTCCAAGGTTTTGTAAGCTCTTTGGGAAGTGAATTAAAGTTTTTTTATTTTGTACACCTTGAGTGGAGTACTTGGTAGTGCTTCACAAAGTATGTAGGAAAAACTTTATATAAGGGTGAGGGCCTTAACAATCATATTAAGGCACGCCGCAAAAATTTCACTAGAAGATGTTGTTTAGATGTTGAAAAACTTTCAATTTGATCATCTCGACCTCCAGGCGTATGGACATGAGAAAACATAGATTTCAAGTTTTGAAAATAATGCATCCTGTAATGTATTATCTAAAACTTCAATTTTCAGGATTTTCAGGTGTTCATAAATCTGCTCTATCTACACTATTTTTTAATGTTTAAATTTTATAATTCAAAATAAAAATAAATTTTAAGGCCGTCATAGAAATTTTGATACTAAACAACATATTTTGACACTATATAAAGACACGCCTTACTTTGATTGTTTAGAGCCTCAGCCTTATACAAACCACACCAAATTATGTATAGGGCTGTTATACCATTGTTTAATTTTTCACAATAACTTTCCTATTAGTTTTTGTTTCCATGAACTTCAGCTTTCTATTTTCATTTATTTATGGATTCTGGTGTTATCAAGGGTGTTACAAAGAGGATAGGTAGAGGAATGCATGAAATAGCAGCTAAAGTTGACGAATATGCACGTGGTATGATGGGTCCCCTGGGTTCAACTCTCTTCGAAGAGCTTGGGTTGTACTATATTGGGCCAGTGGCTGGGCACAACATTGATGATCTGATCTGTGTGCTCCAAGAAGTAGCATCCCTGGAGTCAACTGGCCCTGTACTGGTTCATGTCATCACAGAGGAAGAATGTGAATCGAAGGACAGCAAGAAAAACGAGATAGTGTCCAAGCAACCAGGTATTAGAAATCTCTAAATATGTGATGATCTGTGTTGTTTTCACTATTCAGGATTGTTAAGTATTGTTTGCACAATTTGATAGCTTATTGTGAAAGTTCCAGGTCATTTGGAAAGCAAGATCTTCCTAATTCTTGTTAGACAGCTCCATGATTTACCATTTTTCTTTTAAGTAATGAATAATGATCATTATTTACCTGTTATATATCAGATAAAATGCTTCCCTGCATTTTCTCAAATGACAATGATATGCACTCCGATACCAGTTAGTTTCCTGCAATCTTAATATTTTTTCTAGAAGAATGGGTATATGGTGTCATGCTCATTTCTGATGAAATTGGGAATTTCTGAGAGTTGTGTCCATTGTGATTGATTTCGAAACCTTAGTATTTGGTCATAAACTTGCAAATGGTCATGCATATTATCCTTGTGCAAATTTCTATTTTATTTTATTTCCTCAAACATCAGCTAAGGATTCTATTTGCTGATACCTTAATTTCAATAACAGAACCTAGGAATTTGAGCACGTTGATTAATCACCCTGTGGTTCTGGGCAATGGGTTCTCTAGGACATACATGGATTTCTTTGTGGACGCTTTGCTTGTGGAAGCTGAGAGGGACAAGAATATAGTTGTGGTACATGCTGGAATGGGGATGGACCCTGCTTTCTCTCATTTCCAAGCAAGATTTCAAGACAGGTTCTTTGATGTGGGGTTGGCTGAACAACATGCTGTCACATTTTCTGCTGGTTTGTCATGTGCGGGCATGAAACCATTTTGTGTAATTCCTTCTTCTCTCTTGCAAAGAGCGTATGATCAGGTGATAAACTTATTTTATCTATGTTATTTTTCTCTTCTGCCGTGTCCAGCACTGATGATGAACTAATGTTTCCAGTTCTTCATATATTAGAATCAAACTTTGGATAGCAACTTTCTTCACTTGGTGATGTCGAGAATTTTTCGCTTCATCTCCATCTGAAAATACTTCCTGGCCGTACATTTTGCAGAAATTACTAATACTAAAGTTCTTTTGAGGATGGTGTTAATATTGTTCTTTCTAGTTCACTGCTGTTGTCTATTAGCTTGTCTTTAATCACTTTTAAGATGTTCCTTGCATGCTTAATGCTTTGGCCTAACGAAACTTGGATTACTCTCTTATTTCATGTGGTTGGTAATGCTCTGCTTTTTAAATTAAATTGTTTCTGTTCTAGAGCGAGCTCCTATTGCTTTTTCGACAAAAAGCTGAGTGGTAAGAGTCCATTTAAATCAGAGCATGGTAACCAAAGAATAATTGGTATGCCTTCCTGCAAAGGAGCAAAATGCTTCCCATTTTCATTTCTCTAGGGAAAATTGAAAGCTTTCTTATCAATTATCTGGATACACCATATTCTCAAAATTTAGTTCGAGGACCCACTATTAGAGTCCTTGTGAGTTTTTAATTGCAAGTCGCCACTTTGCAACAAACTCTTGTCTCCAATGTTTGGAGGATGAATTTTGTTCTAGTGCTGTATTTTATACACAAGCAGGTGTTGCGGTCTTCCTGAATGTCATAAGCACTCCAGTTACCTTTAAGAATGAGTGAGTATGTTATTGATTAGTTGTGGCACGTCCAATTCATTTCCTAAACTACGAATTGCCAAAAGCTAGTAGATGGTCCATTGCATTTCCCAAAGAAATGTCCATTATTTTCTTAATAGCATCCAAAAACCATCAGAATTCTCATGTTACCCATCAGGGAAAAAAAAAAAAAAAAAATCTCAGAAATATCTGAAATGCTTGGGTCCTTAAGAAAAATGAAATTGGCTAAACCTTATACCCTCAAATAAGCTTCAAGTTCCTGAAAATGAAGGTATTTTAGTTAGTATTGTCAATACTCAATTTGATTGTGGGGTGATACTAGAGGGAAAGTGCCATAATCCCATGAACTATGCTATACTCTTTTTCCATTGCGATCATCACTGTTGGAGGGAGTTGTGACTATGGTGCTGAGGGTGTGTCACTTAACGTGATAATGTGGTGGATCCATCACAATACATCATTTCATTGGATGGTGATTGATTGGTTACTTTCCTTAGGCACTGGATTGTGATTTCCTTACCATTACTAGAAGTAAAAACCAATACCTTGTTTATTTTCTTTCAAGTTCTGAACATGTTGATTAATACTTGGGCTACTGATGGTGCTGTGTTAATTTTATGGGGGTGTTGTATGCCTGCATGTATGCATGTAGGTGGTCCAAGACGTGGATATGCAGAGGATGCCAGTCCGGTTTGTAATCACTAGTGCGGGGTTAGTGGGATCAGATGGGCCAACATATTGTGGGGCATTTGACATAACAATGATGTCATGCTTGCCCAACATGATTGTCATGGCACCATCCAATGAGGCTGACCTCATCCACATGATTGCCACTGCAGCTGCGGTCAATGACTGCCCAATTTGTTTCCGATACCCTAGACGACATGTCTTTGGGGCCGACCTACCAGCTGGAAGCCATGGAGTGCCCATTGAGGTAAGTTTTCTATTGTGCTTTTTTTATTTTTTATTTTTGTGTTAAGAAAGCTGCTAATCTGTGGAAGCATTTTCTTCTTCTTCTTCTATTTCGTCCTTTTTTTTTTTGGTGGGTTGGGGGATTGGGGGTTGTTTATTGAGAACATGAATGGAGAATGCCTAGAGATTTCCATAAATCTTAAGGATAACCATTAAAGGGTTTATATGCAACCATTTATAGGGTATCAATACAAGACAAACATTTTACATCAAAAAATCCTAGAGATAACTTGTATTTTACATCTTATCCACTCATTCTCATGTGCCTCTACATGTGATGCAAATAACCTGCGTTTTGTTGTATTATCCATGGAAAAACAAACTTCAAGTATTTTAGGTCTCATTGAACAATTTATCGTGATAATCATTGCCTAGAAAGGAAAGGCTATTGGGCATATTTAAAAAATCAACTGTTCTTATGGTTAACCGTGAAAGTTTTCATTCAAACCCCACTGAAAACTGGGAGTTAGAAACTTATCTGGAATTCAGTCCAAGCGTCTCCAATCTTATCTATGTAGATCTTCTACGAGTAACTCTTTCGATTCTGACCTGTTCTTGCATATAAATTTGAATCTGATTCTATACACCCCCACTAAACGGGGTCCCAAGCAGATTCTGTCATGCATACTTTGCATATTGTTATGATAAAAACAGCTGCAAGCAATGTTTCGCATCACAAATTTTTGTAACGCTGAGTTATGGAACTGGCCAAAAGGTGTCCAACCTATATTAGCTCACCAATGTCACATTGAGTATTTTTAAAAGAATTGGGCTTAGTATGCTGCCATTCCAAACTTAATCACTATCTGGGATGTTTGTGAATATTTTGTAATGTGAGAGGAAACTCTTCATTCTTCAGATTTTTTTTTTTGGTGATTTCGACTTAATGGCTGGTTTTTCTTTTTGGGAGGTAAGATTGGGAGAGGAAGTGTGATTGCAGAGGGAAAGGATTTAGCTCTATTGGGATATGGGGTTATGGTCCAGAATTGCCTAAAGGCACGCACTTTGCTCTTGGACCTAGGCATTGTGGCCACTGTAGCAGATGCACGCTTTTGCAAGCCACTTGACATGGACCTCGTTCGCCATCTCTGCCAAGCGCACCCTCTCCTTATTACTGTGGAGGAGGGTTCCATTGGGGGCTTCGCCTCCCATGTGGCACAATTCATTGCTCTTGATGGTCTTCTAGACAATGGAAATTTCAAGGTATGTGCCCTTAGCACCCACTTGTTCCTCCTATTTTCCATAGTGGTTTTCTTTTTTATTTTAGTTAATTTTTATTTAAAATAATGTCTTGAACTTTTCATCATGGCTTTATCTAAAAAGGCCCTGGAATTAAATATGAGAGTGCCCTAATCCTCTGATGTGTTAATATAAATACCTGAGGAAAAAACCACCCTCTTCTCCCTATTTGCAATAGCATGAAGATGACTTGCATAGTGTTTCTTCAGTTTCCATTATGGTATACTGTGAGGGCATGCGTAAGTGTTTTAACTTGAAGCAATTCTCATTGATCTCAGCACGTAAGGGCACAAAGAATGGACACTTTCTAGGAACCTTTTTCCCTGATAACTGATACTTCTAGCTATTTTACACTTTTCAAATCATGTTTTGGATGTAAGTACTTACCGGAAACGAGGATCGGTGTAGTGATTCCTTCAGAACTTTTTAGGCATTTTTGTGAAGGTGTCCTCAATCATTTTAGCTTATCAATTTATTTCTCTGACTTCTCTCAGATTTTACAGTGACAAAGGTTTGTAATTTTTAAAACTGAATTATTTTACAGTGGAGGCCAATTGTTTTGCCTGATAACTACATTGAGCATGCATCCCCAAAAGAACAGCTCTCTATGGCTGGCCTCACTGCCCATCACATTGCTGCAACTGCTCTTAGCCTCCTTGGTCGCACCCGTGATGCCCTTCAGCTTATGCATTGAACCCTGAAAGAATTGAGCACCCAACCATGGATATAACCCTGACCAAGAAAAAAAGGAAAGGAAGTGAGTTACCAAAGTTGGTCAAATTATTACCACGAGGAAATTCTTCTTGAGGCTGAAGCAGTCGATTTATAATTTCAATGTGATAACCCTTTTCAAGGCCCTGGGCTCCAGTTCCCCTCCCTCTTTTATTTGTAATGAATTATTCCTACTTTTGACAATTATAGGTTGTTCAGTGCTTAAATTACTGAGCCTTGTCCTTCATAAGTTGATTTTACGCGATCAAGTGAGTCACCATCTCAAAAGAGCTATACTTAAGAGTTGGTCTTTTTCTAAAGGAAAAGTGTTTCATGCGGGCTGGACTGCATTTCTACATATGCGGTCCAAAAAGTGTAAAGCATCCATCTTAAAGATGGATGCAAGTAGGTGTTCCATCTGAAAGCAATGGAAACTAACGGTCCAAATTTATTCTTATCAGAATTGTCATTTCTAGTTTTTAAAATTTATTTATTTTTTCATATCTAGATTGCATATCTTTAAAAATTAAGTCCTAAAATCCATCTCAAAAATAGATTTATTAAGAGGCTTGTATTTTTACATATGCGGGCTTGGTCGTATAGAAACCGGGTCCTTTTCTAAAGCTTGGTGACTGAATTTTTGAACCACGCCTGTTTCATGGTTAGAGAAACACCCGGTTTGTAGGAAAGATCTAGTGTTTGGACCTCCCTCATTCAAACTGAGCTGACCTACTTAGCCCAAGAGATCATCATAATAGCTTTCTATCCCAATCAATTGGGGTGGAAAATCTATAATACCATAGGAGTCGAATAGCTTAGACATGTAAACTTGATTTTACTAAATAAAACAGAACTGTTGAAAGTGGACTTTAGTTATAGAATGAGTGAGATGCTTGTAGGAATGAGACGCTTGAGATCCATCTAATTTAGAACCTTATCCGGAGAAGTCTAGAGATCAAGCTGAAATAGTGAATGGAGGATATGTATATAACAGGCTTAAGCTTGGTGATCCAAAATGGAATAACCAGTCACTAGTCCAGTTTCGGCAAGTTCGTTGCGGTAACTATCTAGTGGACTTGATATCAAAAAATTGAAGATTTTTTATTAATAATAAAAAAGGATAATACAACTCATAAATTTACAAATGTAGTGTTTGGCATTTGTGCTACATCATGAAGTAATGCAAGGGAAATAAAATTCGGCCTGTCTTGTTTGCCAAATAGTGGCCTCTGAAAAAACTGTAACTTTCTTAGCCAGTGTATCCGCTACCATATTTGCCTCACAAAAAATATGCTCTAAGTACCAATCTCGACCTAGAAATTTTTGGTGGCAGTTTGCAGCAACAATATTGATTGCCCATAGAGCTTTGCATCGATCATGGATTACATTGACTAAATGAAAAATCACTCTCGATCCATATGGGGAAACAATTGAGTTGGATGGTCAAGTCTTGCAAGGTATGATATTATGCAAAATTGTTTAATGCTTTTCTTAGGGGATTGGTAAATGCAGCAATAAGAGAGCCATCATCACTTCCACCATATGCAGGAGTAAGATTTTGGAGAGAAGCCTCATCAACATTTAATTTTGAATATTTAGGGCAAGGAAAAGACCATGCAACCTTGATTGCTTTCTCTAACATGTAAAGGGTCCAGACTTTAGCATCTGCTTCATTTCTGACATGAGTTGTGATTCTCTTGAGCAAGTGTTCACGCTTGGATATCTTCTCCTAAAAAACTCAACGATTTCATTCCTCCCATAACATCCAGACGGCAGTGAAGAAAAGAGAACCAAATATTCAGAAGTCCATTAGACTTGAATAGAAAAGCAATCCATGTCTTGAGCATGGTTGCAATGGATGAGAATGAAATAAGCCTTTTATTGCATCTCCAGACAATTGATTTCTACATACCCTATGAAAAAGCACAATGAAAAAGTAGGTGGCAGACCCTATCATCATTAGAATTACAAAATGGGCATACAAAATCTATGGAGATCCCTCTTCGCTGCAGAAGAGAGGGTAGGGAGTTGATGATGAAATAACTAACCAAGAAAACTACTTGGCCCTAGGATGACATTACAAAGACCTCATAACTTTAAAAATTGGTTGAATGAAACACCTTTATAGAACAAAATTTGATAGAAAAGTCACCATTGAAGGAACAAACCCATACCAGGAAGTTCTTCTATGGCTATAGAGGAAGCACAAATGCTTCTACCTCCTTCCAAATTGTAATAAGAGAACCGGTGGCAGGAGTAGGAGCCTCCATGCTCGAGGAGAATCCAGCAAATAATCAACTACTTTAGGTTCAACAAGAACATCTAGGTTTCTATGAATCTGAGAACCATAAGGTGCTCAAATAGATTTTTTTGAAAGTCAAGGATCTGCCCGAAAATATATAGTCTGGCCATCTCCAGTAATCCACTTGACATTATGGCGTAAGTAAGATAATCCAATCTAATTGCTATAAAAGATTAGTGATCTCATTTTACAAAACTTAACGGTCTCGTAGTATACAAACCCTTTAAAATAATGCTAACTATAAGTAAAATGACCAAAAAGTTCCAACTAGTTTAGCAATAAAAAATGAATGAAACTTTAAAATAACTAGAAAATCATTCCGAGCAATACTTTCTTTGCTTGTTCTTCTTGGTAGTCCTCCTAGGTTCCACATCTTCCAAATATGCACGACCGTTAAGAGAAATCCGCTACTCCCATAGAGTATATTGGTCACCTTTTTCCACTTAAGTGTACTTTTCATATCATCATTCTCCACTTGTTAAGGAGATATCATCCTCAAGTTAGACCCTTCATCTTCATCTAATATTGAATATATCCGAAGTCTCCATATGTGAAGGCAGAATGACCTTATAAGCATTGTTCTCCATCTTCTTCAGAATCCTGTAAAGTTCATGCCTTGCGATCATGCAACTCGTTATATTTACTTGCTGGATGCCTTTCTTTATTGAGACACACCATTATCCAATCTCCCACATTAAACTCTTTGAATTAGTGATATTTGTTCATTGCTTAATATTTGGTTGTATTAGTTTCTAGATTAGCATATACCTACTCATGCACTCCTTTCATCTGCTTAACCAACTCCTTAACACTAGCATGACCCTCCCCATTGGTCTAGATAAGAACCAAGCCAAATGCGTGGGTAGCGTTATTCCCATATACCTCCTCGATCAGATTCTTACTAGTTGACCTGCTATGGGCACTGTTGTAGGCAAACTTGAGGCAGTACTAGATTCCAATGTTTCTTCCTTTCCCTTACAATACTTACTGAGATTATTGGCAAAACTATGATTTACCATTCCAGTTTGTCCATTCGAATTCGGGTAATAAGCACAACTGAATTGTAATCGAGTATCCAATTTCTTCTACAAAGATCCCAAAAAAATGGCTGAGGAACTTTGGTATTCTGCTATGAAGTTATTGTCTTCAGAACATTATGCAACCTCACCCCTTCTCGAAAGTACATATTAACATGTGTGGCATCCAAGTTTTTTTGCAAGTCATAAAATGAGCCATCTTGGAAATTTTTTCTAGTACAACAAATAATATAAATTCCATAACTCATTGATTCCGCGGAAGACTCATCACAAAATCCATTCTAACATCCTCCCAATGTGCTGACGTTGCCCCTTAGCTAGCTAACAAGTGTGTCAACTCTCAATAAACTGCGTAACATCCCTCTTTAAGTTTGGCAAAAAATACTTAAGAGTCCACCAATACGATGGTTTTTTCTCGAGCAACCACCTCTATGAAACTTTGCTATAGGGGTCTGACTAAGAGAACTTGCAGGTATACAAAGACAATTTCCTTTGTAGAGAACTCCATCTTAAATAAGAAAATCCTTACAAGCTCAATTGCAGCACTAAGCTCATATTGCCTTGAATTGACATCATCTACCACAAAGGTAAACTCCTGCTACCTATCGAGCATGTCACTTATTTATTTTATATTTCCTATTAATGCATTTCAGTGCTTCATGATCTAAGAACAAAAATAAACTCCCTTTGATATGATAATGACACAAATGCCTCATGGTTGGAATTAATAGCATAAAATTCCACATCATATGTAGAATATAATTGCCAGTTGTCATTTAACTAAACTTTAATGGCACCAATGCCTCAACGTTGGAATTAATAGCATAAAACTCCACGCATCATATGTCGAATATAACTGTGAGGTGTCATTTAACTAAATATTGACTAAACATGCTTGAAATGGTTTGTAATAAGTTTTTATATAGTTGCCATATATATATAAATATATATATATATATATAGCTTAGGCTCTAAACAATCAAATTAGAGCCTACCTTCAAATAGTATCGGGAAATGTGGTTTTAATACTAGAAATCTTTGTGATAGCCTTAAAATATATTTTTATTTTTATATATAAAGTTAGAAGTTTCAAAAATAGTGTAGATCAAAAGATCTATGAAAACTTGAAAATCTTGAAAATGGTCGGTCCAAAAATGCGTTACAAAATACAATATTTCCAAAACTTGAAATCCATTTTTTTCTCATGTCATGCATCTTGATGTCAAGATGATCGATTTGAGGATATTTAGGCATCAAAACAACCTCTTCTAGTGAAAGTTTTGTGGTAAGCTCTAATTTGATTATTTAGAGCCTCGATAAACGTTTTCCCACACACACACACACACACACATATGTAGGTGAAAATGAATGGTGATTTTGCCTACCTTCATCACCGTCCAAAGTTCATCGCACAGTCACGATTGTCCGGTAGTGTTTCATTTTTCATTTCTTTTTACAAATTCAAATGTCCTGAAATTTGGAGCGTGGTTAATAAAAAATAGATGAATCTACAAAAGATATCAAAAACATATTTTACATGAAAAATATTGACCAAAATACCTCGAAAATGTTTCAGGGGTATTTTGATCAATTTTATTTTCATAAATTATTATTTTATATTTTTATTAGGTGTGCCTCACTAAGATGTATATACTCTCCAAATTTCAGGTCATTTCGATTTATAGAAAAAAAATAAAATATGAAATACTACCAGACAATCGTGATGCACTCATCTTTTTTATTTTTGTAATCCTTATTTGAAACAAAAATTCATATTTTTTGAGGTCAAGATGATTAATATCCTTAGATTTCAAGGTCAAGATGATTAATATCCTTAGATTTCAAGGTCAAGATGATTAATGTCCTTAGATTTCGAGGTCAAGATTGTAGGAAAAACATCGGTGATATGTAAGTTCTTTTTTACTC